CCAGTTTATTCTGTAACCTATCATTGATACCGTTTGAAAGAACTTGTGAAGCACTTTCAGAATCAGTAATCAGTTTTTCGATATCTTGTATAGTTTAGAAATAATCAAGTGAGATCACTTAACGTTTCCACCCTGTATATTATTTACTAGCGACCGCCCGCGACTTCGTACACGTGGATCCCGTTTTACCCCCTTAGGGGTGGAGTTACGTAAAATCCTTTCTTAGCGCATGTTTACGTTATAACATCTACCTGCATGCCAAATTTGCCCGTTCCGTCCAGTGGTTTGGGCTGTGCGTTGATAGATCACTAGAGACAAGTCAGTCAGTCAGTCACCTTTAAGTTATATATTATTTAAGTTTTTTTTACTGTTTTAATAAATTAGTGTGATCTAAAAATGCGGCCGCGTCCGTTTTGCTAATGCCATTCCAGTTAAGTTGGCACGGAGCGTCTAACAGTAACCCTTACGTGACCAACTTGAACGCTATTTATGTGACTACTGGTTCCTCAAAGGAAACTCCGTGTTACGTAATTTTACATCCTATAACCAACTTAATAAGGTTCTACAAGAAAATCTTAGATTATGAAGTAATTGCGCGTCGGACAAGAACTCCTGTGCATCTGTCGTCCTTCCGCTTTCATGAGGATTTTTATAAAAACATTCATTACATTATTTAACTGAGCATTGAATCTTAATTAAGCAATCTAAATAAGCTTGAAGAATGCACAGGTGAAACAACATAGCTAATTTGATCGAAATCAGCATAATAGTTACGAAGAAGATTCAATAAAGTAGGTAAGTAAGGCTGTTCATAAATTATGAAAAACATGTGGTAGTTTGTGTTATAGCTCATCAATTGTTGAAAATTTTATCCCATCAAAAACAATACTTGTCAAAAAAACCAAGTCTCGCAACTCAGTTGTACTACGGTAAAAAGTTGTGAGATCCATGTAATACCAAGTCCAGGCCAGGAAATCTTTAACGTTTTACATAAATTATTGACTTGGCCATCGCACTAAATAATTTAATTTACACGTGTTTTCATGCGATGGCCAAGTCAATATATTTATGTAAAACGTTAAAGATTTCCTGGCCTGGACTTGGTATTACATGGATCTCACAACTTTTTACCGTAGAACAACTGAGTTGCGAGACTTGGTTTTTTTGACAAGTATTGTTTTTGATGGGATCTCATTTCTTTTTGTATTTTGTAGACAGCAGTTATGTATCTAGAAAACTGGACCGAAAATGAAAAATTTTACTCGACTTGGCGGTTGCACTACCGTGCCCCCAAATATTTTAGTTTTTCCTTGATTCATACACCAAACACTACTTATATTCCAAATTTGAAGCTTCTAGGTCTGCTAGAAGTGCCTTAGAGTTTTGATGATCGGTGAGTCAGTCAGTGAGTCAGTCAGTGAGTCAGTGAGTGACAAAATTAAGTAACTTTGACCCGTTATAATTCTTAAACTACTGGTTCAAATTGAATGAAATTTGAAATATACCGTGTCTTTACAATGCCTGCATAGCTAATGAAAATTCAGCCTTCTAGTTTTATCCAGAACGAAGTTACAGGCGGTCGAAAATGGCCTGAATTGCTTCGAGAAAAGGATGGTACGGCCGTGCTCGACTTGGTGGGGGCACTGCCGTGCCCCCAGATGTGTCTTCTGGTTTTGACCTATTTTTTCTTTTAAGTATAAAGTCACCTGCGATTAATTGCACTGAATTAATTGCGTCGCTAACACCTTCAACTTTTTTACAACTCGCAAATTGGACCACGTATCATAAACAACAACTGAGCAGACAATGCGCTCGTGAAAATAAAACAAAAGACTCCGAGAGCAGCATTGTAACAAACATCTGCCGGGAACCAGTTGCGCACCTGCCTGCCCGAAAACAATCGCGAAAAACTCGGACAGCTTGCGAACCATAACAGGCCATGATAGCTGCCCTGCGCCTGCGCTGCGCACCTAAGAACAACTTGGCGCTTTGCAAGTTTGAGGAAATATCTTAGATCTTTAATAAACTGTAGACAAGTATTTATTCTGTGGTATAAATGTAATTTAATAGCCACGATAGCCGAACGTCGAATGGGTCGGACTGGCCGACTCGAGATCCGAGGAACGCGGATTCGAATCCCACCGCCGCTCGTCTATTGTGGTGAGCCCACTCGTAACACAGTAGTAATTTGGGCAATACAAATTGCTAACAATAATGCTGTTTCCTGTTTGTCAATTAATCCTGTTTGACTTGATCCTCTTATTTATTTAACAGAATATGTTACAGAGCTAATTTATTATAACATTTGAATTGAATCAATGGGTGATTTCACGCCTTTTATAGATCTAATGGCAGTAATCTGTAATGCATAAGAATGTCATATTTATAATCTGATTCACATAATATTGTTAAGAAATCACGTTCCTTGGCTGCTTGCATGTAGCCTGCAGTCAATTTAACCATAGTATACATAATATTATTACTCGTAATAATGCACTCGTATTACAATGGGTTAGACTTGTTAATAGGAAGATGTTCAGGGTAACTTTTGCATCACAAACTAGCAGAACCTGCATAAAATGGTAAACTAACGATTCTTCGGATAGGGCGAACGTGGGTTCTTTAATTCAGCTTGAATTCCCATTTATTTTTAAATTGAAAAGGACTACAGAGGCAATGTATTTTTTATTAAGTAATAGTACGTGAAACTTGAATAATATCAGTTGATTAATTCCAATTGATTTCCGATATTGATTAGAAGATAAAGTCGCAATTTTTCTCTATAATAAATATAATAACTGCTTGTCCAATAAAACCTGCCTTATCTATGCAATATTTTCCAATATCCTGTCTCCTTGGAACTTGATTTCTTCAATGACAGTGTTGAAAAGGCAACATTTACGAGACACGCGTGGGCGAATCAGGAAATGTGTTGGCGTGTCTTGATCATTGACATTATAGATGATATTATGTGTAACCGATACGCTGTATCGTTTCACCTACGTAGCATCGGATTTAATAACATTGGTACAGTGGTCGACTCTATTGTCAAACACTTACGAAAGCCAAATAGAGACATTATCGTATCACTGTCGATGTTATAGCCACATTGTTGTGTTGATAGTTTTATGTTTCTTTTAACACCTACCTAAATTATGTTCGGCATTGGAATGTAATACTTTAAAAATAGTCAGAATAAAATGTTGCGGCGATAAACGTATGGTTATGAAACTCAACAAAAGCTGAACATATTTTAACAAAGCTCAGGAATCGATTATGAAAACAAATGAAAGCGATGGTAACAGGTGCAACTGACAAGTTCTCCATTGTATTCATCCCCTTCCAAAACTGCCTTCGCATCAACCCTCTGCTACCACATTTCGTCAAGTCTTAAATATTAACTTAAAGAAATAAACTTTACCTTTAGTGTTGTAACTTTATCAAATTCAAATTCAACAAACAGTGTACTTTTTAACGATCACAACATTTCTACCTATCCTTTAAGACCTGTAACTCTTCATGATTTTTAAACCTACTTAAGTTTTTTTAAATAGCGGCGTCAAAACGATTATCAAAGCTGAAAATTATCATCAGCTCACGAAATGTCACAGTACTTATCCCCATTTAACTGGGGTCTTTCAAGTAATTATATTTTCTTAAGGCACGAGTCTCTCCCTTTTCGTCACCTCACTTTTTGCCACGACACATGTCGTGCCACCTGACGCGTCGTGTCGTGCCACATCCCGCGACATGTGGCCGGTGTCGCATGCTGTATTATGCAAATGCTCGTCTTAACATTTGTGCGTTAGATATATGGCGTTTTTGAATTACGGTTAATCACAATTTATGGTCTGTTGTGGTCATATGGTTTTGAGTCAAAGATTAACACTATTCGCTTTGGGTTTTAAAGGTTGACGTAATATGTACCTCTAATACCGGTCATATATCGTGCTTGATTGATGTTTATAATCTACCAACAGGTAGACAGTAAATTATTCAATAATTGAATTAAAAGTTTATGTATAAAGAAAACTACACTGTTTTCCAAAGAAATAACACACTCACCTACATTCAATTATGTTAAGTTAGCAACTAACTCCTAATTAGTACTTGCCTAGAAGAAAAATAAGGCAACAGCTAACTATCGTAGCCAACACACCTGCCTGGCATGTGCCGTAAGTTACTATGGCTCTACAACTGGGCTCTACGAATTCGCGTTTTTACCCACCACAGCTGACCAGTGATAATAAACATCGATGAATTAATTTATTATTTATCTGCGAGCGCATGCGCATGCGCGGAGGCTTCCGGCGACTGGGACCGCAATTAACTAGGACCGCGGTCCCAGACGCCGGATCCTTAAAAAAATAATAATTTTCTTCCGGCGACTGGGACCACTCATAGATAACTTAAAAGAAAATATTATTCAATCTAAAATTGGTACAGTACTAAAATCCATGAGTGGTCCCAGTCGCCGGAAGAAAATTATTTAATTTTTACGCATCCGGCGACTGGGACCGCGGTCCCAGTTAATTGCGTCCCAGTTGACGGAATCCTCATGCGCGCTTTTATCAAAAGCAATTTAAAAAACTACCCGCTATTTTGCTGGCACGAATGTTGCTGTAAAATTTCAATAAGTGTGGCTCTTCTGTCGGTCGGTTTACCTTACTAACCCATAAATCTACTTGATTGCACATTTTCATTTTGAAAACATAAATTAAAGTTAAATTGTGAAAAATGAGATAATTAAGTAATGCAGACTACACTAGATTGTGTGCAGGTGCTCTTCCTTAAGATATAATTATATTGTTGTTATAACAACTACGCTTTACTAGCAGTTGTTAATCAATTTTTACAGTCCATTAATTAAACTATACTAGTATTTTACATCACTGAAATGAAACGAATTATCAAGATTTAGCACTTAACTCTACGTATCTTTAATTTTCATAACAATTAGTGTTTTTATGTGTGAAATTTAATGATGATTTCTTTCGCAGGTGCTGTGGCATCTGGATATATTCCGGCGGAGCTTCCGCGAGCTCACAGGGCACGCCTGTCTCGGCCCCTCGTGCATTTTCTGCGCTCTCAAGGTAAGTAACTCTCATTTTTAACAATTACTCATAATTACAACTGCAGCCTATTTATAACCTGCAACAAAATTAGGCCGTATTAAAAGGCAGATGTGCGATGCAACTGCACTATTTTTACCTGATTGATACCGCAGATGGGAGAGTAATTGCACGTTTCATATGTCACCGCCCGCGGTACCAAGATAAAAATATAGGTCACAATGCCTGAGGACAGTCTTCATATCTAATTAAAGAAAGTTTGATCTATTGACCTTTTACGAAGGCTAATTTGAGATGGTGCTTTTTCTTTTTGATTTCCAACGTCCGTGATAAAGTGAAAATAGCTGTGAATTGATGCAAACCTTCAAAATAAACTAGGCCTTTTTACCGGCGTGTTAATATGAGAATAACGAGATTTTTCTTGAACTAAGCACTTAATAAAGTCAGACCGCTTCATTAGCTGTTCCATATAAGTCCACCTTTTGGAAGTAACAAAAAGTATAACTGGTGAATGTAAGGAGCACGTCAAGTAATCACTGTAGGATCTTATGCGGTTGTAATAGGAAGTGTTTTGCAACAAAAGTGTATAGTCTGATGTACTTATAAGTGAACAGTCTATGTCTGACCTCAGTGGCCCGTAGTGCCCGTGGACTTCGTGACCTTTACTTAACAATAGACGGGCGTACAAATCACAATACGAGAGCTTTCGACGAGATACCAACGAGCTTTTGTATCACGTCATTGTTTAGCTCATTTTTATGTCATAAATATTTATGAGCTTTTAATAAACAAGTAGGTTATGATTAAAAATTAAACTCGTAACTGTATTTCTTGTACTATAAAATTTTCGAACTAGCTTTTCCGCCGTAGATACTGTGATGTGAATGTGACACAAATCTTTAAATTAATATAAAAACAGCGTCTATAGTATGCTTTAATCTTGTATTGCAGGCTCATCTTACAATTTCTTAGAACTAAATCTAGTTAAGCTTGCATAACGATGCAACCTGTAATCGAAAACTTTGTCAAGTTTTTCAAGTGGCAATTTGCCTAACGCGTACAGACTCGGCTGCTTTATTACGCGTCCAGGGTAACCGACCACGAACTGGTTCTGCAGAATAGGACGAGTTGGAGTCGTGATTTTGATATCTTATAGCTAGCTAGGTGCTACGGCGCCAGGGTGCTATGAACGCGACGCTAAAGCAACAAGTAGCAGTCCTTTGTTTGAAATTCAACGGCTGAAATTGCAAACTGCAATATTTTCTCGCGTACGTTCACTGAGAAAGTTACTCCTAGGATTAGGATTTTTTAAGTTTACTCATTTTAATGTAGGTATATTGTAGAGACAAATCTCTGATATCTGAGACAAATTGCACTCAATTTCTGAAATGTTACAAACATAATAATAATTATGTTTTTCATGGAAGGCGGTATTCCTTACCTTCAAGTTACCTTTAAATTAAAAAAATTAAATTCATACTTTCTCAAACTTAAAATGAGCACGTCAAAACAACAAAAGAATCGAAAATGTACAATTGGAAAGGCTTTTATTATTTTTCCATAAAACAATCAATCAACACGAAGAGCCTAAAATCAAGAGCCCCGATCTGTCATTGCCGTCATAACAACTTTCTACGCAAGTACCCATCGTGTAGTATACGCATTACGCACACTAGCGCAACTCGCGCACGTGTCAACCGCCAACCGTTCCAAACTGGTTCGAAGTTGGCGCCCTTTTTGACCAATGGGGCGCGTGCGCGAGTTCGTGGAACTCTTGTCCTCGCGCGCGATTGGTCAAGAACTTTTTACTATGCTCACTACGATGCGCCGGCGCACGAAGCTGTTTGTGATTACCTCTTTGTGCTTAAGCTTAGATTGAGCGGTTTTTTGATGACGAACGCGATTGATTCCCGGTATCTTTACGTCATTTGAATATTGTAGGATAGAGTCAATAATGGATTTATTAATACTGCTATTAAATGACAATGTAGATTATTATTTAAATTGGGTATTATTGACAGCCGTTTTGCAATTCGACATCCGTTCGCCCACTCCATTTTTATGACCGGAGATAGTGGGCGAAAATTCAAACTAATCTGTGTTACTTGTCCATTTATAATCGCATTAAAGACCCACAAATAATAATAACACCAGCTTCTGGCCTGTTAATTTCATTGGGTCTTCGTTAGATCATTAGCGGCATTGTTAAAATTGGGTAGTTTATTTACGATTATTATCTTTTTTGCATTAATTCGTGGTAATATGTAGTAGTTTTTATATATTACGTTTTTAAACAAATTAGCATAGGTAGTAGTATTTTTTTAAGTGTCTTTAGTAACCCATTTTGAAATAAGCCCCTTGGCAGGTACCTATACGAATAAAGCCCTTGTTGGCGGGTCTTAAAATTACGCTACGGTCTAAAAATACTAGACATTTTTTACCAACTGAGCTTTGAGTCTGACCTCACTGAACCAGGGACAGTTGGGTGTAATGGTCTGGCGTGAAAATTGAATTGGTTTTGCGAGGCCACAGACGCGCATCGAACTAGAGTCTTCAACCAGCAGACATAGAGCCATGACCAGCTTTAAACTACTATTGTGCTCTTTGTAAAAAGTATTGAGTAATATCTATAAGAAAAGGTCTCAAGAAAGAAGTTGGCCAAAGTTCCGGAAGAATGGGGCACAAATTAAAACAAACTATAGTTTAATAAACAGTTGCGTTTTTAGAAATTCCTATGCCATTTTTTCATTAACAGTCTTTTGTATAAACAATAAAATCGAATGAGAAATATTTTGAACTCGCGTTTGCTCGTGTTCATTAAATAAATTAAACGTCGCTAATTAATTAAAACTTTTGCTTTGTTGCTACTTTCTTCACGGACATTGAGATACAGAAAGCTTGTAACATGTTTTTAATTTAGCAATTGTAATTTAAATTAAATAGCATATAAAATATAACGTCCACTTAAAACAGTGGATTCAGAGTTTCATTATTCAATTATGTAAGTAATATCGCCAAGACAATACATTGTAGAGTTAACTGTCTTGCATTTTTGTTAAGCTAAAATGCTCTTGCGCCGTGGGCCGACTGTTTGCCAATCCAGCCAAAAATGGAAGTCGGTAGCGTTTTGTTTTAAAATGTTGTCACATAGTGAGTTAAGTATCTCGTTTCCAAGTACAGACAGATCGAGGCTGATCTAGGCACGTCCCGCGAACTGTGTCGCGGCGGTACGTGCCCAGGCGCATGCAAACTGGGCCAGCCAATTACTGGTAGTCGTTACACCACTGTTTCAACTAATATCTGTAGCTGTTTCATAATAATAGTTCATAACTTGCAACCACAAAGTAAAAAGGGTGTAATGTTTGTCGCTAAGAGTCGGGAATAGAGCACTAATTGGCTAACGCTCACTACCCAGTGAAATCCGAAAAGTATATTTTTCAAATCCTCCATACACACATAATGAAACTTATGATTACAAGCTCACAACGATAGCACATAATTCAAGATAAGTACGTTGATCCAAAAGTAAAAATTTGAATTCAACCACAAAATTCTTTTGATTAAATCGAGCTTAGAGTATGATTCCGTAATTACATGATATAAAATAAGGGTTTGTCTACCTATTGTAGATTTCCTTTTGTAATATTGGCCTTTATCCTGTAGCAACACAATTAGTTAGCCAATAATTACACATGTACCGCCAAATAAATGTATAATATTAACTAATCTCCCAAGAGCTAATCTAGAGCGAGCCAGGTCGCAACTCAATGCCTTTGTTTCCTTTCCCTTTGTAGAGGTATATCTGCGTCTCTACATCGCATTATCTGGTTACAACTGAGGCTGTGTTTATTACTTTATCTGCCAAATCGTTTAAGCAAAACGTATAAGACCCGATACGACCAAACTTTTACCCGAGAATACTCCTGGTATAACTGGCCCATTGACAGTTTCAGTATGGGAAATATGTCAAAACTGACGATTTCTGAGATTAATATTTACTCTTGTTTGGTCGAATCCACCTGAAATAAAACAGAAATATACTTGCCATACACGTGCCACTTTATTAAATGGATCGTTTGCGTATACCAAATGTATTGTTTCTCGTTAATTACATGTACCTATACAAGGTATAACATTCTCATGAAGGGTGCTTGCAGTGCTTAAATCCTCTTAAGAGAATGTGCGTTTATACATACTGTTACAACTTGTACCTTTCTATCTTGTGTAGGAGATTAACTAAAAATTTACTTGACAACAAACAATTTCGTTGCTAGATCACAGATTTTGTATTGCTAACATTCATTAGGTTTACTAAGTAAGCGTATAGATATGTCATTTTTAGAGCTAACAGCATACCACGAGGCAAGAGATTGATCGAAAATGATTTTCCAAAACTATGATTAGTGGTTTCGTTAATCATACTATCCGACGTAGCATTCAATTCTACGTGCAGTGAAAGTAAGGTATACTCGTATTGCAGTCATGAGAGGCCTTCTTATTGATCCACTTCTAAATCTAATGAAAATTACGAGAGACTGGAGTACCCTTATAATGACATTATTGAATAATTTACTTAATGTTTAATCTGTAATCGAATTTATGGCATTTATCTCATTAGATTGCAATGAGTCTCTAGCAGCAAAGTGTTGCCATGTTTTGAGCTTACGACATTTTGTTTTGCAAAATATTGGATAGACTTATTTAAATAACTAAGATGTACTTATCTTCCATTTTGCATCATTTTTATAGCATCTCATTCTTTACAACAATTTGAATTTCCAAAACTTTTAACGATAATTGTGGCAATTTAACGGAATGTTTTTTATTTACACTAACTACTCCAGGCATTCCACTTCCGCGGTCGTTTTACTAATAGTCGATGTCGGTTTAATGCGTGAACATCGTAGGATCGATTTAATTGATGCGTCCGCTGTAGTACACGGGCTTGTGTCACGCGAAACGTGTAGCACAGCCTCGCACATCCCGCGGTGGGTGTACAGATGGGGACAAAACTTGATTAT